GTTTGTGTGTAGTATTTTAAGACAATGTTGTATGTAATTTGTATGAAATCATGAATCATTTACAGTACGTTTAAGAAAATGATGAACTGTTCAGATGGCTCCATTAACTGTGTTGATGACATTGAGTGAATGTGTAAAAGTAACAGTAATAGTCTGATTGACTGTAATGGTTTTGGGAATGAGTATCATCATAATACAGGTTAATCTGATTGTCTTCTATCTACGTCCAAGGCTAAGAAAAAATGTTCTCAATGGCAGGTGTACAAAGAATGACTGGCGTCATGTGACATGAAAAAAAAAGGAGGGGGAAAAAGAAACAAATACAAACATCCAAATTATTATTGGAGGTGGTGTATTGTTTTGTTGCCAACTTAACCCAACCCAGGTTTTAGAAAAGGTCCACCCACGTTTATTAATACAGTCATAGACAAGACTGCGACACCTGAAGTTCTTTCTTCATTGCATTCAGTAACGGGATTAAGCATCACTGTGTTTTGGAGTTTACTGTGTATCAGGTAAAGTTACTTTGCCTAATTTTATCCCACTGAGCTCTTATCACTCTTTCAGTCATCTGCTTTTGATAAATCTAAATTATTTTGTAACATATTGTTTTGTTATATATGTCATAACATTTTGTATAAACATCTGTAAACTGTAAACAACTGCTGTTTTTCCAACTGTTGACAACAAATTAAACTAAATTTACTACAATAACTATAGAAACACATTTTTCACGTGTATATGTGTGCGTGCAGGAGTAGGAGGTGCTGGTATTCACAATGAGGTTCATATTCTCATTGTGTGTTTCAATGCTGCTACTGTATGGTGAGTGTTTTATACATATTTAAAAATACACCTGTGGCCAAAAAACCCTGGAATGATGCTGTATTCAAATAAGTGAACTGACTGTATCATCTTTTAAAATGAATCTGTTATTCTTATATTCTTTTGTTTTAAAGGTGAAATAATTGATGGACAATCAACAGGTAATTATTTCCATTCACAATGTTTAAAATAAAACTTTCACTTCACCATACTGCTTCGCATTTCGATCTGTAGCCTTCAATAAGACAAACTCAATTGTTGAGGGAAAAAAAGATCTCTCTTTATGATAAACAGGTTATTTCAATAGTATTGAGAAACTTAAATAGTTCTAATATCAGTACTTGCTACATTAGCTGAATAGCACACAATAGCATACTTCATTATGCATTGAAACTGCTGGCTAAAGTAAGAGTCTGTTTGGATCATGTAGATTGAGAAAAAACTATAAATGCAATCAAAAGTACCCCACTACTTAGTTTATTGAAAAGTGTTAACCCTGTTCTCTTTGGTCTCTGTTATTTCATGGCATGAAAGTCTCTAGCATTCCCAGTCCATCCTGATAGCAATTAGACATTGTTCTTTAACAAACTAAGTCACTCAAAATAAATGGATTGTGAATGGTTTGTGGTGTGTCAGAAATCACCCTAAAAGTATGTACTTTTTGTGATTAAAAAAGTACATATTTTGGAGCATGTGTGTGCATCCCGCCACCGTATCACTCATTCTGTCACATCCTGAGCTACACATTCCACATTTCATTTATATTTTCCACTACCCTTCTTTCATTATGCCTCATTTTATTTAATTTACACTACCCTAGAATAGTAGGGCATGTTAGACTGTTTATATCCTCATTGTCACTGCTAAAGGAAAAGAGATGCTCAGTCTTTAGATTTCAATAACTTAAAAAAGGTAGCTTAAAGAAAGCATTTTTCTAATCTCATGTAATAGTATAAAAAATTTCAATTTTAATGTTCCATAACAGATGATCCTTGCTACAACTACAATGTGCTGGATGATCCAAAGAGAGCCTCCAACAATAAAAATTCCTCTGAAATAATGTGTGACTGTGAGGTCAACTGGAACGGTTGGTACCGTCTCTTCATTCAGGGTCAGAGCGTTCAGATGCCAGACACATGTGTTGATCAGGACAGCTGTGGTACTCCATCAGTATTCATATTTAATATGACACTTCATTCTTCACTGACTGGTGAAGCTGATTAGTTTCAGTCACATAAATATTAAGTATTAGAGAACATCTGTGCGTAGTCAGGGAGTTTCATCTGATTGTAACTGTTGAGTCAGTATTTTGGCACTGTTTATGAAGAAAAAAGAACCTTGCAGCTTTGCTAAAACTAATTTAAAAGCACACAAGGCATGACAAGGCATTGAAAAAAACAACACTACACAGAAATGGCTGGTGAGAAAAAACAACAATATTAATATTCCGGAGTGACCAACTCAGAGGTTAGATCTCAAAGTCAATCTACAGTAGAATTCATGCTTGGTCTTAAAAAGTTAGTCAACTCCCAATCTCCATACAACCTACCCACACAAAGCTGTAATGTTGTTAATGGTTCACCTACTTAATACCGACTCAAATGGGGTAAATATAGATTAAATCAATTATTTTGTGTTTGATATTTGCAATACATATTGACCAATACAATTTGACAGTTTTTCTTTGTCTGTTGATCAGTGTCAAGAAAAAATATCCTTCTTTAGTTCAGTGTTGGAAAACAATGAAAACTTTATGACTAATGTATGCACTCTGTGAATGGTTAAAAAAAGGCAAATAGGCTTACAGACCAGCTTACTCAAATCAGTTATAACAAATAAGGAGCATTGAAAGCATTCTTGCCAAAGTTAAACTAATAGTAATCACCTTTCAATTATAAACTCCAGGTTTGCTGCTTATGCCCTTTTGACACAAATAAAAAGAGATGATCAGACTCAAAAACTGATTTTTAAGCTTTGAAAATAATGATTTTATTCTACAACTATCCAACAGTAAAAAGTATATAACATGTGAAAATAAACTTTTGCAAAAACATTTTTTTTTTTTTCTTCACAGCAGTTCCTCCTGTTGACCCCTGCTATGACTACAATGTACTAGATGATCCATGGAGAGCCACCAACAATCAATATACCTCTGAAATAATGTGTGACTGTGAGGTTAGCTGGGATGGCTGGTACCGTCTCTTCATTCAGGGTCAGAGCGTTCAGATGCCAGACACATGTGTTGATGAGTATAGCTGCAGCACTCATGCTCCACTGTGGCTGAAGAGAGGACATCCAACAGTTGAGGATGGCGTGGTCACTCGAGATGTCTGCGGTCACTGGGACAATAACTGCTGCTATTTCCAATCCAATCCCATTAAAGTCAAAGCCTGTCCAGGCAATTATTTTGTTTATGAGTTTGTGAAACCAGATTTTTGCTCTTTGGCATACTGCGCAGGTAAATACATTTACAATTTACCTTTGTTTACCTGAATCATAATTAGATCTTTGTAAATGTAAAAATTTATTAATATTTTTTTTTCAGATGTAGCGAACATAAACACTACCTATAATACTGTCACACCAAAGAAAACCTCAACAACAGCCACTACAAACTTGGACTTTACTGGTAATGTATTGTGCTAAGTTGGAATCTGTAGGATTTATTACTATGGAGAGATAAATTGATGGATTTGCAATTACTGCTTCCCATTGAGCTAGTTTGACATGGAAATCAGAAAAAAAAACAGTATCACCAAGCTGTCAACAAATTATGTTGGAATATTTTCTATTTTCTATGCATTATGGAAAAGTAACAAAAGGATACATTTTACAGGTTGAATATGTTTGCTTAAAAAAATACTATCAATTATGTAAAAAATTTAAAAGAAAGAAAAACATGCATTGTTGCATCCAAACAGTGTACATTGTGACTGCCACTTAGATAAGGACACTGCAGTTTGTTTTAGGAGAAAGAATAAATGTTATTGAACAATATATGCAATATATATATATATATATATATATATATATATAT